TTTTCTTTTTTACTCCAAGTAAAGAAATCAACCCCTTGCACTTCCGGAGGTAGGTATGTTTGATCAACGGGTCCATCAAATGCAGGATTGTACTTGTAGCCAGCACCATAACCTAGACCTTTCATGAGTTTAGTTGGTGCATTTCTAATACGTAATGGAACTAATGGTTGAGGGCCTTCCCAGCCATTCACAAGCTTTTTAGCTTCACTGTATGCATTGAACACTTCTATAGACTTGGAAGCTCTGGCGAGGTACACAGCAGCTTGGGCAAGAATCACCTGTGAAGAGAGCACAAAATATAAACCAACTCTCTTTCTCCAGATCCCAGCATTCCTATGTTTAAGGTTGCCCTACCCATTACAGGGTTCGTACAGATTTTTAGATCCGAAATTCAAGACTTTTTCCAGACTTTTTCCAAAACAATAGACTAAGTATATTTTTTCAGACTCAAGGTTACCAAATAGGTGGTCAATAGAGACCTTGAATAATGTAAGAACCAACCTTTTTTTCAAGATGCACTTCAAACGTCAGATAACCACGGTACAATGCAGATATATGAGAGTTATGTGTGATTAAATGTCTTGGCTAGGGGTCAGATTAAATGGGATTTGACAATGAGAAAAAAATTCACTTATTAAGCACTTGTTGTAGCTTTGAAAAAAAACTCCAGACTTTTTACCATTTTTCCAGACTTAATGTCTGTTTTCCAGACTTTTCCAAAAATTCAAAAGTTTCTTTCTCTTTCTCTCTATTTTATGATGTACTTACATCACACTCTGGCATTCCAATAAAATGACAAGCCTGGTAAGCAGCCACAGCCTGGTTCAAGGCCTGTGGATCAGCCAAACCTACACAAAACAAAACAACTACAGTTGAACTTCCATTAGGCGGCCACCCTCTGGGTACTGGCAAGTGGTCGCTTAATGGAGGTTGGCCACTTAATAGAGGTTAGTCCTTAATTAGCATAAGCTTTAGCAGCAAAATCACTTTATTTTGAAACAAACACGCAACAGGAGCAGCATTTAATACTGCTCCGTAATCAGTCATCACCTTCTATCTCGAACTATATTTTCCTTGAAATAATAGTACTTTTCTTGAAATAAAGCCAAACTAAGCATATCAAGCGCTTGACAGCTGCTTAATAGAGGTCATAACATTGGGAAAACTCTTGTTGGGACAGCATAAAGGTGGCCACAGCCCCTTAATAGAGGTGGCCACTTAATAGAGCTTTAAGTTCCCATTCTTTTCCACAACTATTTCGGGACTTAAAGATTACTAGCCGCTTAATGGCGATTCAGCTATTATCAATAAATTAGACTCTAGTGATTTCACTCATATTGTCAAGGAACTTCTCAGCATTCTGTTTAACCACAAAAAGGAGATTAGTTACAGACCAAAACCTATCAACATGGATGCACACCAAGCTAATCTGACTAATTTAATTCATTGATATGCGCATCTGATCATTCACATGCTAGGATGTGGATAATAAGTTAATAAATTTGTGTAACTGTTGGTCACATGAAAGTATATAAGAATATCTTATAAGGAGACATAAAACAGTTTAAAAATTCAGCTGCTTCCTGAAGCTGGCATAGAAAGAAACTGCTGAATCAAATAAGTCTTTCACATTATTTTTCTAGCTGAATATTAGATTTTAGATGCTAAGGAACTGTCAGGGTGCAACGAAAGGTCAATGGCTCACCAAATGCCAGTGTTTGTAAACCATTGTATTAAAACTAGTGTACTTGAGGGAATCAAAATGGGATCATGTGTCTTATAGAGGTCATTGACTGACATCTTGTTCAACTGTTGGTCACCATTAATAACGGCCACTAGGTCAGTCAAGTGTCGGTTGATATATTGGCTGAGTGGCATTATACTATTGGTCGAGTATAAGTTGAGTGTCTGCCAACCAACGGCTGGTCGCGATAGCATAGGTAGAGTATCGGTGAACCATACAACTTTTTTGTCCCCAAGGCTTTTCCCTTTGTAAGAAGGTACGTGTCAACTGACACCCGGTGGACACTATTGCGCGCTACAAATAACAGCTGTGGCTGATACCAGATTGACCAGTTACCAAATTGTGGGCTATTTTCATGTACTGGCTGGCATCTTGGTTGTATGTCAGTCGACATATCAGTCAAGTGTTGGTGTAGTGTTAAAAGAGAGTCAATGGAGACTCATAAAGGAGATTAGTTACATGTCAAACAACAGTTCACCAGGGTATCAGCCATTACATTGATCAAGTGTCAGTGATAAGTCGGTGATCCATCAGCAAAGTAACGACCAACTATTGATCAATAGACTGTAGCAGCTGACTACCATTCGAGTCTCCTTCAATGTCAACCGAGACTCGACAAATATAGCGACTGATATGTCGCCAACAGTCAACTGAGATGTCGATTGATACGTCAGTCGATACTCCCTATAAGAAACATAATCCTCTAGTTCTATTATCAATGAAACAAGAAAACACTTGCCAATATCTTCACTTGCACATCTCACCAGTCTTCGAGCAACATATAATGGATCTTCACCTCCGACAAGCATTCTGGCCAGCCAATACAATGCAGCATTTTCATCACCCCCTCTTATTGACTTGTGCATTGCAGAAATAATATTGTAATGTTCTTCACCATTTCTGTCATAAAGCAGATGAGTTCTTTGCAGACCCTCTTTGATGTGAGAAACATTGACAAAAACAGTTTTCTTTTCACTGGAATCATGAGTATCATTAGCACCATATGATGGTAGAGTTCCATTTTTGAAGCATTCTCCATTTTGATGTAGTGATAACGACATACTGTTGGATGAATTAGTATTGTTCTGTGTCTTATGTTTTACTGCAGACACTTGTGACTGCACTGCAAGCTGGAGGCCATTTAGTGCAATCCTGGCATCACCATCACAGAGGTTTGCTAACACTTTAATAGCTTCTTCTTCTACTACAACATGATAGTCACTAACAAAAGAATCACACAACAAATTAGCAATTGCACATTTTCAGTTTCATTTTTGACAACAATTTATTCCATTTGAAAATTATTTACAGTTATGTTACCCACAATAATTAGCGGAGCTATTCTCAGTGGGTAACAATACAAGAGTCTGATTAAATTGTCTGTCCTTACTCCATTCGCCGGTACTGCCTGGGATACTGTTTGGATGAATGAGAACCTCTGCTGCTGTCAACAAGAGCCATCACAGGGCAGGGTTTTTTCTGCTGGCACGCCTACGAAGTTGAACCCAAGTCAACTTTTTAGGAATGCCAGCAATAAAGACTGAGATAACCAATATTGCGGGCCACTTCTGTTCTCATATCGGAACCGCATCCCAGGAGGTTCCAGTGGCCATATCGAAGGTAGGTTGGCAGCATATGAGAACCAGGCTTTACCAATTTTAGAAAAACTCAATACCAAAGCTTTCAGATGTTTCAAACTCCTCACCTGTACTCAGATGAGAGATGTACCTGGTTGGTGTCCAAGGAATCCCTCTTGGTAGTGAACACTCCCAGGCTATCAAGAGCATGTTTTAGGATTTGCTCCACATGTTCAGTTGAAAGCTTTTCAAGGACTATGACTCGACAGCGACTAAGCAGGGCATTGTTGAGCTGAAATGACGGGTTCTCTGTTGTTGCTCCTATTAAGGTTATTGTACCATTTTCAACATGTGGAAGGAATGTATCCTGTGGAGAGCAAGTTTGCATTTAAAATGATAAAATGCCTAGCAGGGCATTGTTGAGCTGAAATGACGGGTTCTCTGTTGTTGCTCCTATTAAGGTTATTGTACCATTTTCAACATGTGGAAGGAATGTATCCTGTGGAGAGCAAGTTTGCATTTAAAATGATAAAATGCCTGATTCAAGGTTCTCAAAATTAATACAAAATTATAAAGGCTTAAAAAACTTGAACTACGGATGGTTCTCAAATTTTGCCTTCCCAAGGTTACTGCATGCTTGCTTTTTTCAGTTAATGATTAAGTTGCAGAGTTTTCATTAAGAATTCTAGTAGCAGGAGGAAGTTGTAACATTGCAGGAGAATATTTTGAAAGAGTCCTCCCATCTGAATAAAAATTGTCATAGGCTACTGAACATTAACCAGAGAATTCTGCAAAGTAAACAGAGATTTCTCCGATCTCTGTTGCCTAATGAACACCCTGAGTTGTAAGACGAGACCCTGACCCAGGCCCTGTTGCGGTAAAATTCCAAAAAGCAACATGGCCATGATACAGCAACATAAAACTAGATGAAATGGCAACAAACTGACAGGGACATGGTCTACTCCTCAAAACACAAAACGACCGTATTTGAAATTCAGACTATAGGGACATACACCCCCCCCCCCTCGAACCCCACCAAGAGCGCCTCCTGACAAGCATAAAATGTCACTTGACCAGCGAAAAAATCTGTTTGTCCTGGACAAAGGTCATGGTTCGTACAACTTCAGACAAACAAATTTCAAGGACTTTTCAAAGATTTTTCCCGGACAAATTATAACAGTTTTCAAGCACTACGATTTATTCAATAAATCGGCACTCTTTAACTCCTTTTTGGACACTTTATTGGCTAAAACACGTCATGGAGTCATATACGATTTTTACTTCTTCAGCCATGGTTGATCACATTATATTACACTACTTTGCCCTGGAAAATAACTGGGTGTGACTTGTAATTGCATCTGAGGTACAGAAAAAGAACTTAAAATAAAGAAACGGAAGTAAAATACTGCTCATGCACAAAAATGTTTTTAGACAAGGTAGTGAATTTCAAGGATTTTTCAAGACCTAATAAAGAAAGCAAGTACTTTTCAAGGACTTTAACCGAATTCAAGACCTTTTCAAAATTGTACGAACCATGAATGTGTAACAAAAAAAATCCAAATGAGACAAAAATTCTACTGGTAGAGTCATGAACAAAGATGATGATCACCTGCTGCAGTTTATTGAAACGGTGGATCTCATCCACAAATAAAATTGTTTTTCGTTTAAACATCTGCTGTTCATTCTTTGCAACTTTTACTACTTCTTTTACATCATTTATGCCACTGGTGGTTGCTGACAACTGCACAAATCGTGCTTTGTTACTACGTCTTGCTGAGTTGGCTACAATGTGTGCTAAAGTGGTCTGAAGGTAGAAAACAATACATTAAGATACATGCACTTTAGATTCTACTTTTTGGTCTTTTAAACTATTACTTTTTACAGATAATGTAACAAGAAAAGAGAAGGGAAAGGCATAGGTGAATAAATCCTCAAAATAAAAATGCCCAAATTATATGAATATTCCGTATTCATTCATTGATTTATTTTGTCTTAACCACATAAAATACATTTACAATACCCAATATATTTATAACATATTAACGATGTTAGACACTATTCTTAATAAATAATTATGTTACAAAATGTTCAAAATGGTAATGAGGAGGAAGCCTATATAGAAGTCGGGGGCTCATGAACTATAGGCCTCCTCAGAATATAGGGTACACCATATGAGTTTTATTATTGAACATCATTTAAACATAAAAGGTTGGTTGCCATTCAGGCTACTTGCAGTGAAAGCATATACTAACCAGAAGGCTGTCCCAGAAGCAATGTGGGACAGTAGTATCAAAATAGAAGCAAAATCGAGATACAAGAGCAATTTTCAGAATGTCTCACTTCGCAGATGAGTTTGTTTACGTTGCATGATATGGTTCTCCAAGTGTATTTCAGTTTGGCATTTTCACCATCCAATCCTTGTGTTTTTTCCATGAAATCTAGTTTGGAATTCATTTTACACCATGGAAAACCCAAATTTACTACTTCGGTAGTTTCCCAGTGACAAGATCAAAGTTTCTTTTGGGTTAATATGTTTTCACTGCAAGTGTCTGAAGGCCAACCAAAGTGTTTTGCCTTAAGAAAGATACCATAAACCCTCTATTAAGCCCCCAGGGGGGCTTATTAATAATGTTTAAGGGGGGGGCTTAATAGAGACGGGGGCTTATTTGAGAGGGGGGCTTACTCAATTCAGCAAAGACAATGGTATCAGGTCTCCATTAAGAACTGGAATACAAAGATGAAAAGCTTGGAGGTCATGCAGCGGAGGAGCAAAAATAAATCTGAACTTCCAGTTGGTAAATAAACCATCCTGGATCAGTCCACACAAAGTTTAACCCATTTGCTCCTGGAGATTTTGCCGAAAAACACGTTTTGAAGCTAGTCAAGTGGTTTTCTGGTCACTGTCGTGCTATAATGAGCTAAATTTACCACAAAACCGTTTACAGGTCGTACACTTTATGGCATTCTGATCCAGATGCAAACTATTAGCTTGCAAAGTTCGGGTAAGCGCAGAAAGCAAAATTTCAAAATTTCCCCTCTCTTTTTGCTTTTCTTGCCTCATTTTTTTTTCTCTTGCTGGGCATTTAGTGGGCTTCATTTTGGCGGGAATAGTTTTTAGGAAAGATTTTAGGATCTTAGGATTAGGTGAAAGGAAAGGTAGGTGGGCAATGGAACAAGATTTTCATGGAGATTTTCAGGTCAATGTTACATGGTTTTTGTCCTTTTTCTCCAATGTCATTGACTGAATTGTGCTCATTCTGGTATGGTTTGAAAGATCTCTTCACTCTGCACAAGTTAGCAGACAAAGTTGCCCTTGACCGTTAAAACTGATGATGTTGCAAGCGGTAGAAAGGACGTGGATCCACATGGGCGGTTATGGGCAGCTCGGGGGCGAATGGGTTAACAGTCGTGATTGATTAATATAGTCTATCATTTATTAGTGAAAAATAACAAGGGGAGGGGAGGGGGGCTTCTTAACTTTCTTCCCTTGAAAAGGAGGGCGGGCTTATCAGAGAGATTTGGGCTTATTTGAGAGGGGGAACTTAATAGAGGATTTACTGTAATCTGAGAAGGATATTTGCAAATTCAGGTATCACTTAAGGTTATGCGTGAAGACATTTTTAAAAAACTAGAGATTTAGGACAATGCTTTTGAAATCTTATTGAAGGTGAAAGGCATTCTAGGTTAACATTTTGAGCACCATAAAAAAATGTCTGTTTAGTATGATCTCCTTTAGGGGTCAGTTTAAGCTTGAGCCATACCCACTTTGCCTCTCTTAGGAGTTGAATTTTCCAGTGAGCATCCCCATCACTATTAAGTGGGAGATCCCCCAGTGGTTGACAAAACACTGACCCTCCCAGTCCATGGATTACCCATATAGACTACCCTAACTTGGATTCAGGTCATTTTTACCAGTATAATGACCCTAAATGGAACGTTTCCTAACCCTAATCACTAAACTTCAGCGGCGTAGTCCATTTTAGGGTAGTCCATATGGGCAATCTATGGATACCCACTGACTGGGGGTCAGTGTTTTGTCCACCATCAGTGCCCCCCTCCCGAGCAGTGAATAAAAATATCCCTGTTTTGATTACCTTTCCACAGCCAGGAGGTCCCCAAAGTATCATAGATGGAATTTCCTCAGCCTCAAGCAGGGTTCTCAGTAGACTGTGTTCTCCAAGCACCTTCGACTGCCCCACATATTCAGCCAAAGTTTTTGGGCGCATTCTTTCTGCAAGTGGCAGAAATTGGCTGTTCTTTGATTTTTGGCCGTCTTTTTTCCCAGAAGAAGACGAAGTTGAACTATGACCAGAGATGGAATTACTTGTCCCTGAAGGAAGGGCGGTATTATTTTCTGTACTTTTGGGCTCCGATTTGGAGGTTTTTGGTGCTTCGTTTTGCTTCAATCTCTTGGAAAGAGGATTCGCGTCTGAATTTCCCGCCAAATTTGAAAAGCTGTTGGATAAGCTTCTTTTTAGAGTACCCGTCGCAGGACTTGTCATCAGTGAGTTATTAACTTTTCTTTCACTTCTTTTGCCAAAGAAACCAGACGATCTTTGCAATAAAGTACCTTTTCCCAGAGGAGAGCTGTTCATACAATCATGTCGGCTCTTCGTTCCAAGTGGTGTACATCGCTTCTCGTTCGGTGGTGAAGCTTCCTTCGCATTCAGGCACTTATTTACGTGCTCATTCACGGAAGAAGCCGAGAAGAAGCTTCCACAAATCGGGCAGTCTACCTGATTAACTTGTGACATGGCAAATCACACAAATTCCCCTACAATCTGAATTACTTACATTTTCCGTCCTACTGCCGTGCTACCACTCTGTTTATGTTTTTCCATCAAGCGGTCAGCAGACTTCCAAACTTAGATGACGTCATGAATGCTTGGGAAACGCAAAATGGCGGCTGGCTTCAGATCATACGTCTGGGATCCATGCTTAATAATTTCACAAATTGTAGCGGTTCAGTGTGTTTTCTACATTTTCTTGGCACTCTGGATTCTTTTAGTTGATTTTTGGACAGGATCTACGCGGTCGTTAGACCAATTTTTCCGTGCCAAGGTGAGGACAAAGATGTCAATCACGTTTGCTGTGGTTGGCTTTTTTCTCATGCCCTTTTCTCGTTTTCCTAGGAACTGCGTTTTACAACGTTCAAGGGAAAGATAACCATGGCGGCGTTTTGTTTGAATGCTCTGACTGGGTGAGTTAAAAATCGAGGATTTTTGTTATTAATAAGGGTTCCGCCGGTTCGTGTACAGCTGCTCTCATGGGGTGAGACAATAAATTGAAGAGCCAAAAACGGAAGTAAAATATAACCTTAGAATATTATACCTGCCAACTCTCACGCCTTAGGCGTGATTCTCACGCCTGCGGGTTGAAAACTTCGATCTCACACCGGCTCACGCTTGTGGGCCAATTTCTCACGCCTGATTGAAAAATGTGAGTTGTTGCCGTCTTGCTTGACACAATTTCCAAAAATATGTTAACTCAGACCCATGTAAGGAACGAAAACCATGTGTAAAATGAATAAATGACAATACCTACCTACCTCGCGATCTCTGATTTTTGAAGTGAAAAGCGAGTGAAAACTTCGCCTTTGGCAGACTTCGGACGTCTTTGGAAGACTTCAGACATCTTTGGAAGACTTCGGACGTCTTCGGAAGACTTCGGACTTCTTCGGAAGACTTCGGACTTCTTCGGGAATCTTCGGAAATGATCGTGTCGTCTTCAAAAATCCCAGCACTCCCAGGATAAAAATCTCACGCTTATATCTCAGAAAAAGTTGGCAGGTATAGAATATGTAATGGTAACAGGACTGAGTGGAGTCCAATTCAGTCTGTAATCATATGAGTGATTAACAAAATCAGACGACCGCGTAGCAGGAGTCTGATTTGTATAATCACGAGTATGATTACAGACCAAATTGGACGACACGATGTTCTGTTACCAATTAATCATAACTTTAACAAAATTTGTGATATAATAAGCTATAATTTTAAATCAAAACACAAGAAATTCGAAATTTTGTTTTGCTAGCAGTGAAAAAAAAGCCATTTAAGCGCGCGCGTGATGGCAAGTACTGTCCAATTACTTAGGCATGACGCCCACTGTCCTATTAAACTTTCCAATTAAGGCTGAAATCAGGGCAGTTGATAGTCAGATTTGACAATTTTGTTATAGTTATGAATAATTGTATAAGCGTATCGTATTTCCTTTAATAATAGCCAGCCCCTCGAGTAATGGCCTCCCTCAAATAATCGCCCCCCTTTGACGTAACTATTTAAAACTAGCAGAAGTGCGGGCAAAAACCGCTTTCATATGTAGGTGAATTCCTTTTACTGAGGGTCATGAAAACTGGATTGAAAAAAAGAAAAGAAAGAAGAAGAATTTGTACAATGAAATTTATTAATTTATTTTAATTTGAAATGATCATTTGCCTGTCAAAACACCATTCGTATATTCATGAGTTCATTAAGGTTTTCTAAAAACAGCCACTTCGGGAAAAAGTAAGCCGAGAGTTTGCCCCCCTAGTGAATTAGCCCCCTGCGAGTTTAATAGTGGAGCTCTCGTGCACGAAGTCCCCGCGGCAGAGCACCATGGGTAAGAAAATTTGGTTATCTATGTATCCAAGAAATTTTGGTTCTGAGAAGATCGTACTTATGTACGTCCACCCCTTCATGTAAGCCAGGGTGAAATTTTGCATTTCAAGTACCAACGTGTTTTGGCAGTAAATCGCATAGCCACCCAGTCTTTTAGAGATAAAGAATAACGTGAAAATTTTATAGCAGCAGTGAGAACATGAGAAATGCTAGCAGCCACCAGGGTGAAACTGAGTGGCAGCAAAAAAAAAAGTGAACAGGAACACATTAAACATTTCCTCTATGAAATGTGTAACTAGGTAGTTTCTGGAAGTTTCACGTTATAGTGTCATGCAAGACAATGGCAAAGAAATGTACACAAAAAAAGTGTGCTGCATGTGCAGTTATTTTTTGCTAATTAGACCTACTGATTTTTTTTGGCTGTTTTTGTTGCCATCACTGCTTAGCAGTACACTATTTTTGTATAATGTATAAGCCCCCCAAACTCCTAACCCAAAAAACCCTCCATTAAATGGCCGCTCCAAACATAAGCCCCGCCATGGACTTGTACTTGGAAATTGCCCTAGAATACAAAGTAAAACAGAGCAAAAACGGTAAATTTCCTTCCAACTAAAAGGCTAGCTGAATCGGTTTTGAAACGCAAATTTCCCTCTGTAGATAAGCCCCTCCAAAAATAAGCTCCTCAAAAAGGGCCTTTGAAAAATATAAGCCCCAGGGCTTATTTTCGGAATTTGACGGTGTTTTGTTTCGTGTAAACTATAGATATTAACGAGAGCTTCGCTTTTAGCCCTGTCTAAATCTATATTAGAATAGCTCTATATCAGTTGTGTATTTGTGGATAACCAAACCTAACACTTACATCTATCATTGCAAGCTGTCATATTGTTTGTTTCTTAAACCACCTCGTGGGATAGTTTAACACACGTTAACTTTACCAGTCAATCAGTAAAATGTAAGGGCTTTCCTGAGGACTTACAAAAACTGGCCGTACCGTACTAATGTTGAAATGAATCTTTATTATGGAGACTTACTTGTGGTAATGATTCTCGTATTGCGTATTGGCTGGCTGGGTACAGGGAGATAAGGGTGGCTGTTTTAGGAGCCAACAAAATTCATATGAGAGAGAAGATCCTTGTGCCGTGTTTGGATGTAATAATGATCACCTTTTTCTAGTTTAGTATTAGAAATATGGTCTTTCACTGTATTCTCGGGAAAAAGGCGATCATTATTGCATCCAAACATGGCACAGGGATCTTTTTTCCCATTACAATCTTATTCTAAGAAAACTTTAAGAAAAAATGTCCTGAAAAGCGCTCAAAAATACAAACGAAATGGGCTCATGCCCCCTGGGCATCCTATAATACTCCTTAAATCAAATTAATTCAATATGGCCGCCGTATCCGTAAAAAGGTCTATTGCTAAACCAGATTTTTCTGAATAAATAAATGAATAACAGTAGAGGAGTAGAGGAGAGTAGGAGCTACAGTATTAGACAATACTCACTACAATATTACATTACTCATGACATTTGTTGAAATACTTGTCATCTTTTTATTTGCTGAAATACAGTCCACTCCTGATAATTTGAACCTTCAAGGGAAATGGAAAAAAGTTCGAGTTATCAGGAGTTCGAGTTATCAAGGGTAAAATTATATAGAAAATCATCTGAAGGGAAATGAAAATTGCTTCGAGTTAGCCGGAGGTTCGAGTTTTAGAGGGTTCAAGATACCGGGAGTCGACTGTACCTGTCATTTTACGCCTTCCTAATGTTGACACTTGTATCAACCATTTGCAAATAAATGTAATTCTCAACACTGGGAAAGGATAAAGTTAGAGTTACACACAGGGAAAAGTTAAGACTAAGTTGGTTGAGAAGACATGACATGAAAAATCTCCAGCTTCAGTCTGGTGTTGCAATGAACTTTGATGAGTGTTGTAGCTTTGCTAAAAGTTGAACCGCCCAGACCTCCAAGGTGACCAACCTACACAAAGGGATGCAGTTGCCAAATGTGGGTTAATTAAAAATTTATATGAAACAACTATATGGTCCTTTAAAATCTGGGACATTAAGAATTTACAAATATAATACATATTTGACTGTAATACATTTATTGAATATTGCGGATATCATTTTTGAAATTTTTTCATGCTTTTAGGGCAGGTGGATTGTGGGTGATTGTGCGAAGAGCCAAACAAGTAAGTTTAATTATTTTTAATATGTGCTGTCTGTAATGTTTGTTAGATCCCAAGTAACTTGTATTTTGTTTTACTTTTACCCTCTAGTGCTTTAGTTTTTCACACAGTTTATAACTCCTTCTCCCCTGAAGCAAAAAAAAGACAAAATTATGAAGACAAGTACGTTAGTAGAAGTTAATTGAGTGTATGTATGGTGTATTTCTTTTTCAGTGTCTGGACTTTGCAGCCACAACGCATTTAATTCATCTGATAGTCTGTACAATATATGCTGGTTTTCCTACATCCTTAACGTGGTGGCTTCTAAACCTTGCATGTATGGCACTTATGTCTGTTATAGGAGAGTTTATATGCATGAGAACTGAACTGAAAGCTATACCGGTGTCAGTTGCTTCTGTAAAATCCACTGTTTGACAGTGCTGCTTGGATCTGCTTTGGTGAATGCTGTTTGCGTAAGTTATGCAGAGGTGTGGATGTCAGTCAGGCAAGGATTCCGTTCCAAGGGTTTTAAGAGAGGGACGTGATAAACACCAAGGAACTTGTTTTCTAGTGGATCCAGACATTGCAAGGTGGGGCTTGGAAAGAAAAAGCAAGGCGCCAAGAGCTGAACGCGGCTTATTTCAATATAATGCTTACAAAAAATAATAATAACTTATTGCCTCTTGGGCTTTATCAGATTTANCTCCAAGGTGACCAACCTACACAAAGGGATGCAGTTGCCAAATGTGGGTTAATTAAAAATTTATATGAAACAACTATATGGTCCTTTAAAATCTGGGACATTAAGAATTTACAAATATAATACATATTTGACTGTAATACATTTATTGAATATTGCGGATATCATTTTTGAAATTTTTTCATGCTTTTAGGGCAGGTGGATTGTGGGTGATTGTGCGAAGAGCCAAACAAGTAAGTTTAATTATTTTTAATATGTGCTGTCTGTAATGTTTGTTAGATCCCAAGTAACTTGTATTTTGTTTTACTTTTACCCTCTAGTGCTTTAGTTTTTCACACAGTTTATAACTCCTTCTCCCCTGAAGCAAAAAAAAGACAAAATTATGAAGACAAGTACGTTAGTAGAAGTTAATTGAGTGTATGTATGGTGTATTTCTTTTTCAGTGTCTGGACTTTGCAGCCACAGCGCATTTAATTCATCTGATAGTCTGTACAATATATGCTGGTTTTCCTACATCCTTAACGTGGTGGCTTCTAAACCTTGCATGTATGGCACTTATGTCTGTTATAGGAGAGTTTATATGCATGAGAACTGAACTGAAAGCTATACCGGTGTCAGTTGCTTCTGTAAAATCCACTGTTTGACAGTGCTGCTTGGATCTGCTTTGGTGAATGCTGTTTGCGTAAGTTATGCAGAGGTGTGGATGTCAGTCAGGCAAGGATTCCGTTCCAACGGTTTTAAGAGAGGGACGTGATAAACACCAAGGAACTTGTTTTCTAGTGGATCCAGACATTGCAAGGTGGGGCTTGGAAAGAAAAAGCAAGGCGCCAAGAGCTGAACGCGGCTTATTTCAATATAATGCTTACAAAAAATAATAATAACTTATTGCCTCTTGGGCTTTATCAGATTTACCAGAAGGAGTGTATCTCTTGCAATCACCATTTGTTTCAACAACCAAAAAAGTCTTCATTCAAGCTCATACAGCTGTTTTAACACTTTATCCACAGTCTACAGTACTGTACCACCAAGGTCAGTTCTCTTAAAGGCCATGTCATATTGAAACATGTACGTACACTGTAGATCATAAAATCAGGTTCTGATTATGAAAGCTCTGCAGGCAATATGAGTACTTTTCTTCTTCAAGAGCAGTTTTCTAATTAAGAATCAAGAGTTATCTTGTCACTGCTTTGGTTTTACCCTGCTGCCCACTGTGTGTTCAGATTTCTCTTTTTAAATCTTTCTTTGCTAGTATGTGACAAGAATGACAACGATAACAAACTTTCTTTGCATGACCATACATGTAAATGTACATAGAGTACTACTGAAAAGAAACAAAAATTCCGCCACACTTTTTGATACACCATTTTAGAGTCCCCCTTTTTTCTCGAAGTTCATATCATATGTACAGAGGGGATGGGTGTCAGAGTTTACATATATATCCCAACCTCCCCCCCTCTGCTGCAGGTGGATTTCATACTCTTCCCCAGGTCACTTACATATTTTTGTACATTCCATACATGTGAAACCAAGATGGCTGCCATTTATAGCAATCTTGATGATCTTTTGCAAAAATAGGGGTTGCTAAATAGTCTAACTTGGTGCATACAGCTGTAAGTGTGTTACAGGTCAAATCTGATTTCAGGTGAAAAACATTTTTCTAACCTAGGTTGATTCACAATTTCATGTTTCTTCTAACTTGCTAGAAGAAAAAGGAAATTGAAAATCAACTTAGGCTAAATCTAAATTAATCTTCTGAATTCACTGTCTTTGCTGGGATCCTCTTTGTGCGTTGTTATCTAAACGTTGTCTTCAACTTGAACTTTAGAATGACCACTGAATGGTTGAAATGCCTTAATTGTTTTTAAGACTTTTTTTGTTGGTTGAAGAGTAGGTTTAAATTGTTCAGAAATACATGAACCTTAATATTTGGAGCTGCATAAGTGATGTTCAAAGCAAGGGTATCTGTTTCAAGATCAGCAGGTAGCAGTCTTTTCAGCTCCTAAATTAATTTGAGTTTTCCTCTCTGAGTCTTTAAGGCTGAATATTATACAATGTATGTGTAACTGACCAAGCTTGAGGTCAAGATAGCTTTAATGTATGATACAGAGCAAAATTACGTTCTATTTTACAATAGTGCATAAAAATATATAGAGAAAGAAAAGATAAATTATGTAAATAACATTAAGAAAGCTTGACTAATTTTACGAACTTATAGTATATTAAAGTACATCAAAATCATCTTTTAAACATAACATATGTGTGTATTAACTGAATTTGAAACATAAAGTAACAACATATTTCTATCGGCAGATACTTGACCAGGGCTGATTTGTTAAGTGCAAAGGTAACAGACCGGTAATAAACATTGAATGACCATAGAAATTAAACCCAGATTTGACTGATATTGTCCTTTGGACCAACTTGGCCCACATTTCTGGGTCAACTATCAAAGCCAATAGAAGTCAAAGGGAGCCGAAAGAGGGGGAAAAAATCTTCTAGTTTTCTAATACAAAAATAGAGCTCTTTCTGGTGAATGTTAATGTTAGGACAAACAACGAAAAAACCTTCACATAAAGATAAAACAACAGCTTTAAATTAAAGCTGTTGTTTTAAATCACAAATCTTTCTCAAGGTGTCAGATAAAATAAACTTGCAAATGTAGTAGAACTGAACATTACCATGATATGTAGGTGATCGATTTCCAACAAACAAAAGCCATAACCTTGAAGAAAAACCATAACAAAAACTGTTAAAACTTGAGTGATTTTTCTTGGTGATCCTGTGCAGGCTGCCCGAAGGTCATATTTACATAACACACAGGGAAACCATCTGAGCACCCAAAGCCCAGCAGTAACAAAATTTATAATTTCTATTGATTTTAAGTACATTGTATTTTTCAAGTATTGATTTTATCACCTTTATTACCTTTGAGCTGATAGGTAGCAAGAACATTAGCCAGTTCATACTAGAACACCTAATATTTGTTAGAAACTAGAACATTGTGCAATGATTGCAGAGTTTTGATTGGCTTAGTGTCCATGGAATATGAGCCATCCTATAGAGTTCATAGACTATGTTGCTTGGATTAATGCTATGGATGTCCAGCTGCACTTGTAGTTTTCCCAACCTCATGGCTGGATGTTGAGTATGTCATCATAAATGCAATAACTGGAAAAACAAAAACAAGACTGCTTGACTTGGAATTACCAGCAGCAAGTACAAAATTTTCAAGGGGGAACACACAGACCTTTTCAAGCTTTTCTCTTTCCCATAAATTTCAACACGCTACAGAGTAGTTGATTGGTAGATGACCATGCATCTTACCGTGAGGTGGGAAGAATCACAGGTGCTTTAACACAGGCTCTGCTAGAGACCAAGCCTATGTTCTAAATTTCTCTTTCTCATCTACAACTAGCTATCTCCAAAATCTGTTAGGCCCCTTCCAAAGCCATCAATGTGATGTTTTAAATCCTTACAGTTCTTTCGTGGTTGAAAGGTTCTGCTTCCAGGACAAAGTTGAGTATTTGTAATTATGACAAACCTGTTGAAATTTGATTGTGTTTGTTACGTTTTCATGATTATCAGTTACAAAAAAACTTTCCAAACCTCAGAGCATTTGAATCGCTCAAACTTCAACAGCGATGTAAAATGAGACCCATTCCGTTGCGTAATGGAAAGATTGCTGCATATTCCTAAGAGAGGATTGTAAGTGGCAAGGAGGTCCAGTCCCTCATTCCTACTGTGTTTGACTTTTGGAATTTGTTTGTTAAATGTCTTCACCAGACCCGGGGTATCCAATCGATGGAAATCGATGATCGGAAAACCAATCGATCAATCGATATCAATCGATAAAATTAGTTAATTGGTATCGATTGGTATTGGTCAATCGATGATCAATCGATAACCACACAAAAATCGTTCATCGATTGGCATCGATTGGCACAGGACCTCGAGACAGACGTCACGCACGCTACCTGTCCGATCATCCGCCATTTTTAGGAAGCCCTGGGGACGAAATTGGTAAAACAATTCCAACCCAGACTTCTCAGCGCAAAGAATATACTCTGTTGCACGCGTACTCGAATTACCCACTTGCCCGTCATTGCCTTTCCGTGTCATAATGTCTACGCAAGACGTCCGGGCAGAGGCTTTACTGAATATAAGGTGCATCGTCAAAGGCGATTAATTGCCGTTTTGAGGTGAACGTCGGTGAAGTGTTCACTGCAAACCAAGAAGAGGGGAGAACGCGGAAACGCGTTTAAATTTGTGAACCATCGTGGACAACTCGGCCATCTACAGTCCGAGCTCGTGGATCCTCTTTGGCCACTACCTGCAGATATTTCAGTGTTAGTGAATTTTTTTTATTAAAACTGTAACGAACAATCCGGGCAAGCAAATATGAAATTATTCAAAACACATACATTGTTATTTCGGTGCACTGTTCATAACATTATTGTATTTGCTCCTCAATCGATACCAATCGATACCAATTTATCTATATCGATTGGTATTGATAATCGATACCAATCGATAACCACACGAATCTTCGCCATCGATTGGTCATCGATTATCAATATCAATCGATTAATTGATATCGATTGATATCGATTGTCATCGATTATCGATTCCATCGATTGGATACCCCAGGACCAGAGCAGACGAAAAACCGTTTTGTTAACTAATTATTATATATTTTTTTATAGTTATTGGTTATGATGCCAACTTATAATTCTTAATTTGAACCCTGAAAATTGCCAGCATGACATCTAATGAAATGACTGCTTATGCAACTGTAAAGGTCATGCAAAGAAAATTATTCTCCTCTTTAGAATCTTACGAAATTTATGCAAATGTTGAGCAGAACATGCATGTTGGTAATGAGGCTTGAATGGCTAACTGTGTTGTGTGTACAGATGGTGTATCTCTCTCTACTGTGTTTGTTTACAAACAAGTGAAGATGGAATAAGTTGAAACATAAGAAATTTTGAAATCATTCTTTTGATTCAGAGTACTGTTAAAACGCTACTTTAAACTCTGTTACTGTTAACTTTTGTCTTATTGAGTTAATAAAACAATATATTTTTCAAAAAAGGAGGAAGTAAATAAATTTTAGAAGTCGCAGACCACAGGCATAATATGAATGACATCATACTAGCCCTAGCCTAGCTCGTTCAAGCTGGCATGCAATTTTGAGATCCGTCTTTTCGAATGTTGAATTTCCGGTTTCTCCACCCTTTTATAGGTCTCAAAACACAGGCGTGATATCATTGACATGATATGAACACTAGCCAAAGAGTCCCCATTGACCACTACAGAAAATGTCATAACATGTACCATAATGCTCTTTGTTTGTCACCCCAAAATTTCGCATAAGCATAGTCTTCAGTTTCTCTCGGGACCATTTTAACTCCCAAGAGAAACTGAAGACGATGCTTATGCAAAATGTTGGGGTTACAAACAAAGAGCATTATGGTTTGTTATGGTATTTTCTGTAGTGGTCAATTAGGGTTCTTCATCATCCCGACCACAATTTTCGTTCAACACCGTAATCCCGATGGCTATTGTCGGTATCCCGTAAATACTTACAATCCCGTATCCGGGACTGCAAATAAGGCAAATCCCGGATTATCCAGAAAAACGTATTGGGGACCCTCTAGCCAATTGACAGCTGTCTATGTGTGCCAGAATTCAGACTCCGATACACCAAAACAGACATTCATTTCTACACAAAACAAAAATGCAGCAGTCTCAGAAATGTCATCATCAGCGCCTTTGTATGCTGACGTCCGAGCTTGCTGTTTACATGTTAAAATATATTGTAAGAGGTTACGTCTGTTGTCCTAACATACACGACTCTTCATTCATTTATTCATTCATTCACCAGGAGCCCATATTTGAATATATTGGTCATGTTTGCCGTTATCCAAACACTACGCTGACAAAGGGGATGCTACTTGCAAAGTCTAGGCGTCCATACAAACGGGACCCTTCCAAGTCACATTCCACAGCTCAGAATACAGGTCACCGTTCTCCTTGGATAAATATCGCTAAATCATTACATGTCTCCATGGGGCAGGCAAAGTGGGCTACACAAGATAAGAGTGGTTTTGCTGCACTGGTCGACCGTGTAGTCGCCATTGCAACTCCATGTTAACAGGTTTACCGTCTGGATGATTTAAACTGCTCTTTACTGTTTCGGGATGTTGAATTTCTGTTCTCCCCACCCTTTTCCAAATCTCAGGCCACAGGGCGTGATGTCATAGTCATCATGCTAACACTACTAACAAAACTGGCGCGAAGTTTTAATATTTGTCTGTTTGCTCCACCTCTTTTTAAGGTCTAAGCTTTCTCAGTCGCACCTTTGCTGATGGCCACTTTAATTGTCCCTGCATAGAACTCACCAAAAATTAGGAACAACAGTTGAACCTCCATGTGCGACAAACTCTCATTCGCGACCTTCCACAAGTGACTAGCTATTAAAAACGCCGAAGTTTTCCCAGTCAAAACCCTATGGTTGAAACCTCTCGTCAGCGACCGCGATCACTTTTGGGGATAATAGTTATATCGTTTTCCTTGGTTTTCACATTCTTGTAACGAACACTTTGCA